GGTGAGGAGGAGCCCCCCCGCTTTTTCCCTGCCGCAAATCAGCTGTGTCATCCCAAAACCAGCCCCGAAAGCTGGGCTTGTACAGCCCCCCAGCGGCTGCTGGCCAGGCGACACCCCCCCTGTGTGTGTGTCCCCCCCAAAAAATCCTCCTGCCAGCCCTCGGGGTGCAGGCAGCCCCCTAAATGGGAGCTGGGGGCAGCCACAGCCCCTCCACGTGGGGGGGGACACACAGAGGTGACAATGACACTGTGCCCAGAAACACTGGTTTGGGAGTTTATTTCTCCCAGGGATCGGGGCGAGGGGGGGGGACACCCAAAGAATTGGGGGGTTGGCACCCCCGGGATGCAGCAGCACACCCTGGGGGGTGCGTGGGGGTGGCGTCACCCCACAATGTCCCCCGTGGGGTGGTTGTTGGTGTTGAAGCCACTGGGGCGCTGGGGCTGGATGCTCCCCAAGGGTCCCGTCATCCAGGTTGGAACCCACCAACGTTGGGCTGGAAAATCCAGGAGAAATTGGGGTGGGGTGTGAGGCTGGAACCCCCCCCTGGGGTGACACACACACCCCTCACACCCCCTTTGGGGTCACCCCAAACTCACCTGGCGCTGGGGGGGGCATGGGTGGGATGTACCGGCCGTGGTTAGTGGTGAACCCTGATGGCTCCTGGAGGGATGGAGATGGGGTGGGTGGGTGGTCGTGAGGGGACAGGGTTGGGGGCAAGGCTGGGGGGGGGGACACACAGCTGCACCCACCTTCCTAACACTTTTCAGGGGCACTGGGGGTGCCAGTCGCCCACGGAAGACGAGCGGGACGTGGTGGCCCACGGCGGGCAAGCTCTGTTGGGAAGGGGGGACAGAAGGTGAGGTGAAGACACACCAGGGGGACATGTGGGGACACAGAGGGGGGGACACGTGGGGACAAGGCAGTGGGATGGGGTCCCACTCACCGCCGTGCCCAGGGAGGTTGGCACCTCCCGGTTGAACCCGCTGCCTCTCTCGGAGCCCGTGGGCACCGCCGGGAGCATCTCGTGGCCCTGATGGAAGATGGGGTGGTGGCAGGGACACCGTGTCCCCTGCCCCACGGCTCTGCCTGCTTAGGGGGGGGAAGGTCTGGCTTTGTCACCCCCCTTTCCCCTCCCCTTGTCCCCCTTACG